TCAAGTGGAGGAGTTTAAGTATCTCGGGGTCTTGTTCACGAGTGAGGGTAGGAGGGATCGGGAGATCGACAGGCGGATTGGTTCGGCGTCTGCAGTGATGCGGACGCTGAGCCGATCTGTCGTGGGGAAGAGGGAGCTGAGCCAGAAAGCCAGGCTCTCGATTTACCGGTCGATCTACGTCCCAATCCTCACCTATGGTCATGAGCTTTGGGTAATGACCGAAAGAACGAGATCGCGGATACAAGCGGCCGAAATGAGTTTCCTCCGTAGGGTGGCCGGGCTCAGCCTTAGAGATAGGGTGAGGAGCTCGGACATTCGGGAGGGACTCGGAGTAGAACCGCTGCTCCTCCGGATCGAAAGGAGCCAGTTGAGGTGGTTTGGGCATCTGGTCAGGATGCCTCCTGGACGCCTCCCTGGGGAGGTGTTTCGGGCGTGTCCTGCCGGCAGAAGGCCCCCGGGTCGACCCAGGACACGTTGGAGAAGTTACATCTCCAATCTGGTCCGGGAACGCCTTGGGGTCCTGCCGGAGGAGCTGGTGGACAAGGCCGGGGAGAGGACGGCCTGGAGCTCCCTAGTTGGGATGCTGCCCCCGCGACCCGGACCCGGATAAGCGGAGGAAGACGAGACGAGACGAGACATAAATGAGGTCTAAATTACATGGAAGCGGGTCTAAGTCCCTGGGCGATGCCATATTACATGCCATGTTTCTTTCTATGGAAACGCTTGAAGACAAAACATATTTATTGATTTGTAACAAATGGTTACAAAACTGGCTGCGCAGTGGCACAGTGGTTAGAGCTTTTGCCTTGCAGCAAGAAGGTCCTGGGTTTGCTTCCTGGCCTGGTATCTTTCTGCATGGAGTTTGCATGCTCTCCCTGTGCATGCGTGGGTTCTCTCCGGGTACTCCGACTTCCTCCCACAGTCCAAAAAACATGACTGTTAGGTTGATTGGTCTGTCTAAATTGTCCTTAGGTGTGAGTGTGTGTGTGTGCATGACTGGTTGTCCTGTGTGTCTCTGTATTGCCCTGTGATGGACTGGCACTCTGTCCAGGGTGTACCCCGCCTGATTGCCCATTGACCGCTGGAGATAGCCCCCCCCCCCCCCCCCCCCCCCCCCCCGCGACCCTACATGGACAAGCGGGTTCAGACGATGGATGGATGGTTACAAAACTTTGACCAATAATAAATATTGTTGTTTTGCACATTTATCTCTTCACTTATTGCCAGTGATAAAAGGGAGTCTGATGTGCTTGTTATTTTGCTGAAGTTTGCACTCCCCGGGCCTGTTTGACCGTAATGGGAATCCATTAGTAAGGTCTTAATCCAACACAAAAATACAGCTTGCTCGCAACGAGTTAGATACCTACTGCCCCCACTCACCAGAAAAAATACACACTGTCACTTTAAACTGCTTCTAATTATGATATTTTACAATTCCCCTATGTCAGTTGAGGCTGAGAGTTGATCAAATCTGCTTGTAATTCATAGACAATGCAATACGATGAGCTAAGTTGTTCAAACCAGAGTTCAGCCACAAATGGCTAGCTGATAGCAATGTCATTGGTGTGAAAGGATAATAAGGTGGTCACATGACCTGAATGGAAAATAAAGGTGGTTTTCAGCATCTGTGTCCCAGAGAGTGTTTGCCTCATCCTTCCGCAGTTTCAAACAAGTCGGGCTATTTTAAGGGTTGGGTTTGTCTTTTTATAGAAGAACAGACACCAGAGTGTGATAGAAATGTTCTGTGTAACCAACGTCACTGACCACAACCATGCTTGAAGTGGGCTGGAAGGCCGGAAGACACTGTTCGTACCTTCTTTCATAAGAGCGAGCAAAACTGTGTGCGTGTGTGTGTGTGTGTGTGTGTGTGTGTGTGTGTGTGTGTGTGTGTGTGTGTGTTCCTTCTTAGCCCACCCTGGGTACCTGGCCACACTACTAGTTGTTTCACACACTGTTGTGATACAAACACACACACGGAAGCCCTCAACAACAAAAAGCTTCACCAGGATTTCCTCTTTCTGAGCTGCTGTATTGAAACCGTAATCTTTTCATCGTTACTACAAAGGGTCTGCTTACGGCTGATTACAATCTTTCTCCATTCTTTGAAAGGCACAGTTGAACAGTTACTGCAAAAAAGTTCATCTGTGTCATTTCCACATTCTTACCATAAGTGGGCTTATTTTAATGCAATCAAATCTCAAGTTTCAAAAATCCGCTTTAAACCTTCAAAGTTGAGATCCTGTGACTCTTATCTCAATTCTCAAAGTTTTGCATTTGTGCCATTATGGCATCAAAATGGTTGTGAATCTGCAAATAGAACTCGTCACAACATCTTATGCTAAAACAGTTAATTATGCATCTTTATGAAGGCATTGGCCCTGCCTGTGTGGTCTACACTGTGCTTGTGGTTTACTTGGCAGCAAAATGCAGAACCCGAGACATCTTTTAATTAGAGCAGTGTTTATGCTCAGTGAAATGACTTAGAGATGTTCAGCAGAGGCCAAGAACTTCACATCTTTCTCTCTTTCTCTGTCAGTGTTGGTGCACTGTATGAAATGGATCGGCCATATTTGTCCAGTTTTTTGACGACTCTTTCTACCCACTCTCTAAAGCAAGCATTTCCAAATTCAGGAGAGTTATTTTATTTTAAGAGCCTCTCATCCAAAACCATGATCCCTTATCTCCTGTGGCCATGAAAAAAACATCTGCTGATAATGTAAATGCCACATCTTATTAGCAGATGTAGTGTTAAAATGCTCTCCCAAAGGCCCAAGACCCATTAGGCACTGATCAATGAAAACAAGATAGTATTGTTTTGATCTAATGGATTCCACTGGTTATCACAATCGAGATGCGTCTGACAAAGGCACAGATGCGGGTCGGTACCTTAAACCAGTAATGAACTGGGAAAATGTACTGGACTACTGTAGTTCAAAAAATGTATATGTCCTGAAAATAAACATTACATAAGAAAGTTTAAATCTGTTCAAATCTTGAGGGTATTTTTTTTGTATAAATGCAAAGACAAGGAACCTCCCTCACACAGGTTGATAAATCCAAACAAATTTAGGAACCCTCTGTTTGGTGTTGGGGCAGTCACGAGGCAACCGCTAGGTTGGTACTCACCAACTAGAATTTTCTTTGTTCTGGACTCACTGAGTTGTATACAAATGCAGCACGTTCCCGTGACAACCCTAACATGTTAACTAGTGATTGCACAAAACCCTGGGACAATCCTCACATAACTTTCCAAGACAGCTTTAAAATGCATCAAAATAAAAACTACGGTTGTGTGACACATTAGCACAATGCTACTATAATGTGGTCAGTCTGGGCATGAAGTCAGTGTGATTTCTAGTTCTCAGCAACGTACTAGGGATGCAAATTATCGAGTAATTCATTAATCAATAGTTGTTTCATCTTATCGATTGATGATTGATTAATTGATAAGCAGCATTTTTTCTGAAAAGCTGAATTTCAAGTTCAAAACACAATTAATTGCAATTAAATAATTTTACTCAAGTAATTCATTATCGACAATTAATTAATAATCAATTAATTGCTTGCATCCCTACAACATACCAATGTTAAATCTGAATCTCAAGGATGTTGAAAAGCTTCCTAATAAAAATTAGAGCATGAGCAAGACCAGAGATCAAAATACGGTGCTTGGCCAGTCGGCTATGGGAGACCCACTACCATCTGGTTGATGCACCACCGCAGCAGCAATCGTGCACACAACCCCAACTCCATTGTGTCAGTGAATCCCTCCGCACACACACAATATTGCCCCCACCACTAAAGGACCACGTTGCAACAATTTTGATTGCTTTGAACGTGTGAACACCCCTGACCAAGATCATTGAGGACCCATCCATGATGACAAGTTTGTTTTATTCTTAAAGGACACATATTATGACTTTTTTCCCAAGTTAGAATAAGTTACGGTTGATACTATACATTTTCATGACATTCTTTGCACTAAATCCCTCTCACATAAATCAATTCCAGAGGTTTTATTCTTGACATTCTCAGTACTTTCCAGAATGAGTCGTTTCAGGACTCTGTCAGGCTGCTCTGGCCACGCCTGCCCCACCCCCGCTTAAGCTGCTATAAGCTAATATCTGATATCCATGAGGGGCTCAGAATATTGCTGTTTTTGTTACGTGAAGAGGTGGCTCCATCCTGGTTTTATTCCCTGTTTGTGATGTCACAAATGGGGACTATATTTATACGACTTGTTTTAAGGTATTACATTTGTTAACCAAATGCTAACAGAAAATGGATGGAAATTTTTTTATTCACATTTGAAGTGTTTATAGAGGCAGTAAGCAGCCACTAGGCAGCAAAACGTTAGTTTTATATGTTTCCTGGGCGTTTGCCCAGTGTAAAGAATGAATTTCAGTTGAATTATCTTTTCTTATTATTGTAGAATACAAATAACAGTACATCCAGTTGAACTTAACAATTCATTCTTTAAATTCCAAAGTGAAGGTGATCTCTAAAAATGATGCCAGAGGCGTGTGATAAGCACATAGAAGGGCTGTTCCTAGATTTTCAGGTTGTAACATGAATGATGAAGCAAAGCACCAGCTGCTTGAGTGTGTGGATATTCACATGTGATTGTCAGTTCTTTGTTGTTGTATTTTTTGGGGGGGAGTAACCATGGAAGTACTGTGTGAAGCAGGGTCGGATCCCTTGAAGACTGACTTGTCTTCACCGACAGCACATGGAGCATCTGTCACTCAGTGGGAACACCTCACTGCTAAAGAATGCAGTTTCACTACAAGGCAAACAACCTTACTTCTGCTTTCACTCAAGCTAAACTCAAGAGTTACCAGGAAAGATGTCAAAAACACCCATTAAAAATACCTACAAAGTTCATGTAGCACACTGATACTGATAGGTCGGCCACATTGTATTGACTTTAGGAATAATTGAAAGAAGAGTCCAAAGTGTGTTGGTTCTTATAGCAACAAGAAGACAAAACCTGTGGTTACCATTTGGGGGCAGGTAGGTGAAGCGTTGGTACTGGCTTCTCTTCCTCTTGCCGTTGCAGATGTAGAAGTTCACGTGCACTGGGCTGGATATCCTCTGGTTCCTGTAAGGTGGGATCTCCACAACAAGAGAACCCTGACATTCAAGAAGACCAACAATTAGATCATGTTTCAAATATTATTTTCACACTTTAGCTGTGATGTTTTTTTATGACTATTTACTCTACTAGTAGACTACTGTATATTTTACATGGCTTCTTGACTTTATAATTAAACCAAGTTTTAAATTGACAGTATAATACACTCAGATGCCAGGGGGTTTGGAGGGTTAATTAACAGCTAAGTTTATTTTGCAGCTGGCCTGCATTTAGGATACTGTTTCCAAGAGGCTGGACTGGAAGCTGGTCTAAATGAGTGTCTGGACTGTATAGAAGCAGTAGTAGGACCCATGAGGCTGGTCCTGTGCCCGTGTTTGTCTCTGAGGAAAACCCTGAAGCTTTGGTGTTTTCACTGCACAGCACAGGAAAACAGACAGGCCGACTTATTTGTTTGCACAGCCGTTCCTTGTATGAGGGGTTATACGCCCCCCTTGTCCCACCCTGCGAGGCCACGGCATGTCTGGACGGTATGAACTCTTGACTGCTTTAGTTCTGACAGGGAAACATGGCGAAATTTGTCAGGGGCGGTTATGTCTAATTCCTGGGATAGCTGCCACTCTCGTGTGGGTCTGTGTGGCGCTTTGACAGGAAGCAGGTTTTTGTCGGTCTTCACTGTGTGCTCAGAGGAAGGTTGGGAGGGGGTGAAGGTGAGCTCAGCCCAGTCTGCCTTCCAGATGATGACAAGGAAAACATGCAGGTGGCTGATTGAGTGTGGTGAATGTGTGCATGCACACAGCCTTCCGTCTCAATTCAAAACAACCAAAGTTAGCGTACTCTGAACAGCAATAAAAACACAGTCAGGCAGGCAGACTGGAGCACTTTAGAGTAGTCTGGTTGCAACTGACATCAGAGGAAGGCCAGTGCTCTCTCACTGTTTGTTGCCATCTATAAAGGAGAACACTGTGGGGCTTGTGTTTATCACTTCTGCCTCTCTGCACCACCACCATCACCTTGCACACCCACCTTTTCTTGCTTTTTTCAAGCAAATCTCATTCAGATCCCAGCTATATTATCTAAAAAAAAACAATTAGCCATCATAGTCCGCACGTACCTTCCCGATGCGACCACATTTTTACCCGAGTGACATTCAAAAAAGGAAATTTGCAAATGTTATTTTAGTGCCTTTGCCAGAGTAAAGTCCCCTGCTTAGTTTACAAAGCCAGAGGGGGATGTGAAGCTGCTGTTGAAAGACACTCACAATTCCAAACAGACTGTCATCATGCCCAATCAAACACGTTTTCAAATAGCCTCTGCCTGACTCTGCACACTTAAAGCAGACCTAACGAAATCTTAATTAACTCCAGGGCACTAGAAGCTTTCTGTGACACGAAGAACAACATTCGCTTCATTCCCTCTGTTGACAATTCCCTTTTGGTGGGTTTTATATTAACACAATCTGAACGTGTGGCTGTGCGTCAGTATAACGAGTGTGCTGGTTTATTTTCTCATTACAGCCTTCATGAAAAGCAGCAGGTATAAAGGCGGGGGTGTGAGACACTTTTTGGCTGCAGGGTCCCAGCACAGATGAGGTGTTTAAGCCCAATTCACCACAATACTTTGCTGTGAAGTGAACGTCTGGCTGTGCTGGAGAGTGCACACAGGTTCCTGCTCCTCTTGTGTGATCTGTACCTAGTTTTTATGCAGCTGCAAATGTGTTTACCTTCTGGAGATTTTGTGAAAATTTCATTCAGGATTGCATCGTCTAATCAGCGTCATTTGCACTTGGAATTTGCAATGCCCTAGCAAGGGTTACATCATTATGTGGGACAGATGAGGAGGAGATGGAGGGAAAGAGAACGTCTCAGGAGATAGTGAGGAGTGAAGAGACAGGAGCATTTCAAAGAAATCACATCGCTGACGTGTACTTACAGATTTGACAGAATCCTTGTCAACTTTGCCCTCTGTCTCCCACAGATGGTGTCCATCTGTTCACACAATGAGGAAAAAATACAAAATTTTTTGACTTACAAATTGTAATTTCATACCCTGACCTTAAAATGTGGGTTGCTGCAATCTTAAAGAGTCAATGTGTAGTTTTTACTGTTATTCTCTGAAAATATTCATCAAAACATTGTTGAAAATAAATAAAATGATGTCCACTTGTTGAACAACTAGGTCTAGCATCTTGGGGGAGACGCCATTTTAGATGCCATGTTTCCTTCTGGCCGGCCCGGGGTCCTGCGCCTGTCGATGATGTCACACTAGATGATTGGCTGCACGTATGACTTACGGAAGTTACATTACCACGTTCAAAACCATTTAGGCAGTAGGAAACATACATTAAATTAAAAAAACTGCTAAACTCTTTTCAAAACCTGTGCGAAAGAACAGAATTGAAAGAGATGCAAATATATTTTGGTCGAGTGGTATTGCCCTACGTAGAATAATGACGTCATTGGCAGGTGCAGGACCACGAGCAGATGCAGATACTACAGCACAAAAAAAACTACAATCAGTATTGCATTCTCTCAATGGAATTAACTGAAGGACCATCAAAGTCTGAGGAGGTATTGTTGCTGAAAGTCACTGTTACTGCTCTTCGCCTATCATTCTTACATTTCCATTTCCTCATAAATTTGGAAAAAGCCGTGCAACAAGAATATCTAAACAGATTTAGTGGGTTGAGCCTTTTGGTGGTCGTATATCGAACAATGTACACTGAATTTTGCAAAAACACAAGTGAAAAATTTTCTCTTCTCAAAACAATGTTTTAAGCTAATGGAGAAACCTTGAAACTATCTGTTCCTCAGGCTTAGTTTACAGTTAGAGTTAAAAATGGGTCACAGAAAGTTGGACTGTCATTCTGAAATCTTCTACAGTTTCTGCACAATCACAGTTTAAGTTTTTGACTTTTACAGATTTTATCATGAACTGTCCCATTGAGTATGATGGTGATGCTAACTGTAACTTTTCAGCTGCCTAAACTTTCCATTTCTTTTGCAAACTCTTACTCCCACAAATGTGCTTCTCCCTTCTGGTGCAGTTTATACCTCAAACTGTCGGCATTTCTGTCTTCTTTCAATAAACAGCTTTTGGTTACAAAATTTTAAATCAAATTTCTTTTAAATATGCCACACATCCTACAAAAACTCAGAAAACAGAAAGAGTGACCACAAGCCCCTCCTGCTAATCACTGATCAAGAGGGTTTTTGTCAGTTTGAATTGGAATGGTTTATTTGGAGTGTGTTGTCTAGAGAATCACCTTTACCTTGTCTTTTAAACTCTTTTCTATACAACTTATTTGACATGCTTATAGTTTATAAGCAAACCTTTACATTAAACCCCAAATCACTATTGGTGTTTAATGAATAGAATATTTCGAGCAGTAATATTTACTTTCTTGCTTCTGCTGAAAAAAAAAAGAATATTTTCCTTCTCCTCTCTGTTCTCATTTCCATCCCGCTGATGTAAAGAGGTTCCCCTCGCTGACATGTGAGCTCCTCCAGCTGTTCGGGGCCTGCAGAAGCTCAGCTCATATTTTTTTAACTTTTTTTCTCTGGTATTTCATGCCACACCTTTCGTGCACAGATGCTCTGGGTTCTGCTGCAGCAATCAGCATTGGCTGAAGGGCCCGTTTTTTTTCTTTTAAGGGACTGATGAGTCATCACACCTGTCAGAAACAGAGGTGACACTGCACAGCCCTTCTGTCAGTGGCACACCATGTGAGGTAACAGGGTGGTTAATGCAATATTGCTAATATCACTATTAAATGGAAGCAGCAGCTGATAATAGCAACACAGAAATACATCTGCTCTAGTTTACATTAGAGGCAGGAAGCTGCAGAGAAAGAGATCCATGTTAGTTTTCAAGCTACTGATTTCAAAAGCTCAGCAGATCTGTTAGATCTGGAAACCTTTTTCTCTATTTTCCTAATGAATTGTATTTTCACCATCATGCAATGAGAGAAAGAGTAAGAGATTCCAGTCACGTCTGGACTGTTATTGGTAAGACGCCGTAATGGGGGCAAGTGGTCTGCTTTAGCGTTTGGGAGCGAACCTTGTCTTTCCAAAATGGCCCTTTTAAACACAGCCAAGACCAAACCAGACAGAAGAGGGATCAGATGAGTTTTCTATCTCAACTTAGGAAAATCAGAGATGCCTATGGAGAAGTGGGCCTCACGGTGATGGAGATTAACAAACTGCATGGGTAATACTAGCAGGACTATGCCAGCAGAAAATGCCGTGGTCTTATGCATAAAGCAGCAGGTGATGGTGGTGCAAAAAAGAAGGAGGTTCAAACTGAAAAGAAAAGGGAAAGGCAATTAGTGAGAGTGCAGACAGAGAGAGGGAGAGAGAAGGTCAAAACAGAGGAGAGAGGCAGATGAGCATTCCTCATGTTACGTCTCCAGGAACCAAGAGGGAATCTCACCCGCCCACGCTCTGGGAGACACTCCAAGAGGGAAACCTTAAACTACGACGTCAACCCCGAGCTCCACTAGTAAACATGTTTTTCAAATTTTTCTTTTCCCTCATCATTTATACCTGTAAATCATTTTGTTCCAGGAAACTTTTAAAGGCTCGCCCAAGTTAATCTAAAAGCGAGGCTGGATTGGGATGGGGGCCACTGGTGGCGTACCGTCAAAGAACGCCGTACAACTGATAACCACAAGACTTTCCATTCGCACCGTCTTCCTTGCAACATCTGCAAAATGCTTCTGTTCCTGACAACACCTCCTCCTCCGTCGAACCAACCTCCGCCTACGCTCAAAGCGCACAAACAGATGCAGACACATGCAAACACTCAACCGCAATATCCTTTACCTTTGTTCTGGCCTTAAACTTAGAGTGGCCTCAATTTAAAAGAGAGACGAACAGACACACACAGGCTTGCTTTGAGGTAAACTAGCAGCCGGCGTGCTGCTCTGCATGACTCACTTGTGCAAATGAGATCCACACAGACTTACACCAGACAACCAGGACAACACTCATTCTTCAAGCAATTACACGTGATGTGGAGGGGAGGGAGGTGAGGATTATCCGAGTCATCGTCTTTAGCTCGACAACACAGAATGCTGTGTACCTGGTCACAACCTGGCAACACGGCGGTAAGAATCACAAAAACAAATCCATCCGTTTGTTTGGTTTTCACTGAATAAACTATGCTGTGGACATTGTTAGACTTTATAACCAACCTGGTTTAAAGTCATTTTTCAAACTCTAAATCTTTTAGACACCAGCCATGACTCCACGGCTGCCTGATGATTCACTCGACCTCATAATGAACTTGCCATCTTGAAATCCTTCCTGATTTCGTACAGACGTTCAGCGGCAACATTTGTTTTTTCTAAAAAAACTCACATTTGAGCACAACAGCTTCCACTGACCAAAAAAACTTCATGATGATTTTTCAGAGTGGAAAATATGATTCACATGCTTAATTGGGGGAGCCTCTTGTGAAACGGCCCAGATGTATTCTGCAGCCACACGTCTCCTTCCCAGAGATGGTTTAGGGCGCATTTTGCCCCTCTCCTCAAATCTCAAGTTAATTTAGAATTTTATCATCTTTCTGATGGTGTCTTTAATAAAAAGGCTTCAGTAATCTTACCCCCGTTTTCAGTGCAATCACCGTTATACCCAAATAGGGGCAAAGCCAGTAAACCAAAGGGATTCCCTCATGTCTGACTCCAGGCACTGAGATGGATTCTTATCCTTGCTGCCAGTCTGGAAGTTGATGAAACTGGAGAAATGCACGTCTGCTTCTGATTGACAGGACTTAGTATGAATTATGACCTGGCAGAAGATTTTCACGGTACATTTATAGCCAGGAAGTGAGTTATTCATGACACACAGCAAGTGATGTGTGAGCTGACTTGACCCGGGAGGTAGAGTGGGCTGGCAGTCGGTGTGATTAAATTTCATCTTTTTCTCACAAGTCCAGCTGCGTGGCATTGGCTCTGAGGCAGATCTAAAGACCCAGACAGAGAGATGGATGATCAGCTGGGGTGACATTCATAAAATTTGCAAGATGTGAAGCCAGGATGGTGCCAAAAGTGTTTGTTGGTTGGTATTTCTCAACCTTAGCAAAACAACAACTGGCCGCATGTTGAAAACCATGGCTTGGATGCATTCTTTGGTATTTTGTAGGATCTTTAGAACAGCTTGTCCCAAAATATGAGCAACATTAAGACAGGTTACTATTCTTATAATAACAAAAGCAAATACTTTCAGACCTGCCCCGTAGAAAAGAATAATTACCCCTTTACAGATTAGAGGGATTAGCCGCTGTTACGCGTTCAAACAAGCCTAACAGAAGAGTGAGGGCAAGGGGAAGATCTAAGCATCTTCCAGTGAGGTTCAATTGATTATTATGCTCATGAAAAGCATTCTTCATCACAGCGTAATATATGTTTTGAGCATTTTATGGCTAATCTTTTTTTTATTGCAATAAATCCCAAAACCTCAGGAGAGAAAGTTCAGCCACCTACATATTCTTTACCCTTCAATGTGAATAAATAGATTACACTTTGCAGCTCCTTAAATAAGTTTTAATAGCACAGCTCAGATATTCTGAAGTATGAAAAAGTGAAAAAACAAAAACAATAATATCTCTCCTGCTCCGAAACCATGCATGGACCAGCGGGTACAGATATGGATGGATGGAATAGCTCTTCTGTCGCAAAACTCCATGACTGCTAAACTAAAGGTAAATGAAGCTGAAGACGCCATAAAATAACTCTAAAGCTCAGAAAATTCGGAGAGGTTGTTTGTGTGAGTGTTATTTTAGAAACTTGTTAGTTTTGTAATTGCTGGTTAATTTGTTGGCAGGTCCCCAAACTACAGCGGAGGGCAGCAGCTATTGAAAACACTTACAAACAACCAGTAAAGTTGAAATAATGTACTATGTAAGGTGGAAGTTTATAAAACAGGGTTTATATGAACCTTTTGAAATTAAACAACTATCTACTTTAGTTTAGACCCTGCTATGA